CCAAATCAAATCATCGGGTGTAACATTAGCATTATAACGTTAGCTATAACTTTAGCTGTGTTAGCCAAAGTTAACAACAACTCTGCACTTGAACAGAATGTTAAGTTACATTGCCGTGTTTATTTTAAATATAATTCACAACCAATAAAGCAAACAGAGTTGGAGTTGCATCGTCTTTTAGGACTAAACGTTGAACTGTTGCCGGTGTTCTCATGATCTGTGCTGCCTTGCCGAAAAATGCTACCATAGCGCAAATCGACAGACTCGACTCTACTCGGACCTGTTCCATTTTCCATTGCAGATAGAACCCAGAGATAGTCCGTAGCTTGTCGTCATAGTGACGCCACACACAACTGCCACGACGTAATGTTCAATGTGACACACACACCAGCGATCCACACAGCTTTATCTTTTTAAGGTTAAAACGTTTCAGCATTCCTCAGAATGTAAAAACAGATAAGCGGTATGAAAACCTTCCAACTGTGTTTTCCTCTGCCGTTGTTGCTGCAGCGGTCTGTGTGACGGCGGGAGCAGAGGGCTCTGTGAGCGGGCGGCTGACCGCCCTCACACGCTCCTCCCGCGGGTTGGCACAGGCTTCCCCCGCAGCCACTTGCAGAGCTCCTCAACTCCGAAAATATTCAAGCACATTTTTGTTCCGCCATCACTTCTCGTAAAACTGTCAATATTCGAAATCTACACAGCTGATTTCTCACCTCAAAACTTCTCAGAAGTGGATTTAGTGATGAAATTCCATACGAACACTGTAAAATATAAAACTTTCTGTTGCTGGCCTCTGTCTGGTGCAGCAATGATGATGCAGTGAATAGTGAATATTCTCTCTGACCAATCAGCAGTCTGTCGTGTTTTCACGTTACAAAGGCGAGTCGAGCCAAAGGGCCTCCGCTCAGACTAGCCTGGTTTGAGGGCGTGCCTGACCCCGCTAGCCGCTTGGCAAGCTTTATGACGCGTTTTCATTGTGATGTCACAAGTAAAGGAAGTGAAGGGCTGGACTACAAACGAGCTGTTTTCAGTTCAGAGCAGAGTTTTCTGTGGGAGATGGGAACTCTCTTTGGGCTGGACTTTGGGCTTTTCACTTTGCAAACCTGTTACATGCACAAAAAAGATACATAACTCAATAAAGGAGGAAAAGCCAAATAGCATAATACCACCTCTTTAAGTGAAAAGTTTCCCTCAAGTACTTTGGACCTCATTTGCCCTTCATGTGTTGGAGTTAGTGCAGGACTGTGACCGCTTGCTGACACAAGCAGCTGTCTCTAAAAGTTAACATGTTCTATCGTCCCAACTAGTAAGATGAACAGTGAGTGCATCATCTCATTGGTTTTCAAGCTCAGTACTCTTACTCTTGTCTCCATATGTCAGCATGTATCATCTTTGCTCTTTGCAGGCAGACAAAAAAAAGCTGGCGTCCCACTAGACCTTTTTACTGTATCTTTTTGTTTGTGGCCATTTGGCATTTGAAAGCTAGTCCCTTTTTTTTATATTTTATCACTTCGTTTCCTCTTTGCCTGACACCAGAGAGCAAAATGCTCTCTTCTTACTGTAGTGACCAGACAGCAAATACAGAGCTGTACTCTGCCGTCTGCTCCAGAATGTCACATTAGAGTGAGATGCAGACTGAGCTGAGACAGCTTCTCTGGAATCAACTGGCCTGTGTTCAACACAGCTGGAGACAGGAAGTGAGAAAATAAGGAGTTTGGGTCCAGTTGCAGAGGCATTTTGTCAAAACCTTTCACATGCAGTAGTCTCAGTTGGTTGTGGTGTTAGTTAATAGTCTTTGCCTGAATACCCGAAATATGACACTGTAAATTGGAATAACATACAGCATTTTGTTTAGTCTGAGCAGCTTTAATGCAATAAGGCAACCCAGATATGCAAACTACAGTAAACAGTAACAGACAGTAACAAAAAACAAAATTATCAAATAGAATATTATGTCTTCAATAATAATGAATATGATAAGATCTGAGATTAGATTGTCAGTTTATTTGAACATTTATGAAAAAAATCTGTGAAGAATTTCACACAGGTTCAATTAGAATTGGACAGTTTCGGGAAAAAAATGGCTTTAATTATTTTGCAGTATAGCTGGCCATTGCCTTATCAGTTACAAATTTTGACTACTGTCAACTTACTAACAGTTTCCTAATTTTTAAGAGAAAAATAAAGATAGTTACATGTAAAAATAATGATTATTAAAAGAAACAATAGGGAGTGTGTTTTAATAGCAGTATAAATAAAACTTTGTGCTAGAATGCACAAATATCAATAAAAAGAGCTCTACAGGATCATATACACAAATCAATACCAATACTATCACCACGAGCAACAGACTAAACACTTCTTTTACTGACAGTTCATGAACTTGTAAGCTGATCAAACCTGACCCTGGTGACTGTCTGCTCCCTTTCCCATCTCTCATGTGGATTTTCCCTCCCCTCTCAGCATGTACAGTACAGAACACCCTGGTATGTTTGCATTTGTAAAGCCTGTGCTCTGCAACAGATGAATGATGTCCTTTGGGAAGGAAAACACATCTCTCTCATATCTTCAAAGCCTTAGATATTGTTCATACCTTTCTGTTGTCCAGAATGCCAGTGTTGGACAGAAGCGTTCGCCTCTGAAAATTGAACCCACATTGCATTCTTAATCGCCATTTTTATTCCTGCTTTGAACTATTGATTTGTGTTCTTTTTTCCGCGGTATGGAGACAACATGCCTGACTATAACTTAGATTATGTAACACACATGACACACCATGCAAACTCTTACTTTGATTTACGATCTCAAAATTCCTGAAAATTTTTGAATGAGACTTTTAATATACTAAACATTCTTTAATATAAAAACAAAAAGATCATAAAAGATGCAGCCCACATTTTCAACTTTGTTCATCTATGTCTAAGATTATTAGAGGCCAGGTTTTTTTTTGAAAAGTGAAAAATAAATGCTTGTGAATGACTTATATATCACTTATATATCAATGGTAACTGGATTACATAAAGACATCTGACATTGCAAATAAATCTTTAAACAGAGATCAAACCGAATGAACACTATGTTTCTTAGAAGTAAAATGTTGAGGAAATACCTCACTTGTGAAGGCCCAGCATGACCCCATGCTAAATGTCTACAGTGAATCAGCTCGCAACATGCTCTGACTTTTGACCCTGAAGGTCGCCCAAAACCTTCAGTCCTCATGGGCTTAGCTTTACTTAATCCTCAGTGAATAAAGGTCGAAGGTTGCAGACATGGAATGTGCCGGATTGCAGATGTTTGGAAGTGCTGACGTAAAAATTCCATTAATGTTGTTATCAACTTTTTTAGAAAATCTGTGATTTAGTTTCAACTCTACAGTGCATGTGAGGAGTATAATGCCTAGGTGATTGCTTAGTCTAGTGGTTTTGGGTGACAGTTGATGAAGAGAGCTATGATTGCTAATGGAGCTGCTCTCTGACCCTCTTAAGTTTTAATAGTTATTTTAGCAGCCCAGGGGCAGGATCCAGACATGTTGGCTATTGTTGATTAAGGTCACTGAGCAGGAGACATGGTAAAAGAAAATTCCTTGAAAATGGAAGAGCTAGTGAGATTATCTGTCAGTCTGTTTGTTTCGTGGGGGAATCAAAAATATTTTTAAATGCTAAAAAACACTAACACCTGCTTATGTAGGTGTTCTGGAGAAATCCTCTTGTCTTTGGGCACCATACACACCCCTGGAAATCTTCTGTGTGTCTATAGGATAGAGGCTGTAATGATCACCCGTCAAAGGAAGAGTGAATACACCCCAGTGTCATTGTATGTCTCTCTTGTATGTGTCATCCTCAGACCTCAACTATTCTGACTCCCTTTCCCGGCACAGGCATTGTCTTGCTGGTAAAAGATCATTTCTCCATAAAACTGCTTTAGTACATGGGAAAAAATGTTGGACTATTGTTGTACCAAATGTGTTTTTTATCACTGCTTGGCAAATCTTTGTGCTCCAAGATTCCTGCTGTTAGTATACTTTAAAAAGATACTCTGTCTTTACAACCAACTAAAAAATCTCTGAAATCACCTTAAATGACATTAATGCTTCACAGCAGATTGGCAAATTTACCCAAACATTCCCATTTGGTTTGCAATTTGTTGGGTTGTTTTCATTTATTTTTCAGAATGTAGGATGTGTGGAGTCCTTTAAGTCCCTAAGTGGGATTAAGGGTAGTACAAATAACCTTGTCTTGAAGTAGTATGAAAAAGATTTGAAATGGTTTGTTGCGTTCCCTGGTCTTACACACCACATGTGCTTGAAAATAAAGTATTGTAAAAATAAAACTATCTTGAAATATGATTGTCCCATCAAATCATATATACTTTGAGCAGCTGCAGATATGAATATGTATCACAAGCCTCATTCTGAATCCCAAGGGTTTTGTGTTGCTATTGCAGCTTATTGGCTGTCAGAGTGTTGAGGTAATGCTCCCTCACCCTCATCTGCTCTGCTGGCTGATAGAAACAGATGAGACAATCTTCCCTTCTCACTAAAAAATATAGCGAAGAGGTGTTTTGTGTACATGTGCTTGTCAGTGTGCCTCATCCACATGTCGGTGAGAGAGTTAAAGGGGTGTGCAGGGTGTGGGGTTAATGTTTATTTGATGTGTGGGTGCCTTATTAATCTGTAAACAGTTGACTCACCATGAATAGCACTGGCAGGGACCTCAAGCTCCACGTCTGATTAAACAAAGTTATATAACAAACATCAGGCCAGAGGCTTCATGTTTTTTGTGAAAAATGGCAGGTATGGAAAATCAGGAATTTCTATTAGAAACCCAGTACGGAGCTTGACCTCGGTGATGCTAGTCTTCTTTAAGGAAGCAGGTGCGTGTTATGTAACTTGGTCCTCGAAATAGAGAGTCGTAAAAAGGAGAGTGATGTGTGACACAGTTCCTGGGAAATATCATCCACAAGCTAAACGTGATGTAATTTTTTTTCTCTGTCTGTCTTAGCTGCTGACTGGGACCCTGGATGGGAATCTGAGACAGTTTCAGTCCAGCAGTGGGGCCCCGTCTGTCTCTTGACACCGGTGCTGCTGTGCATAGCGTCGCCAACATGACGGCGTAATTACAGCAGGCTGCTGCAAAGAGCATGCAGGTTTTATTAAAGCAGTTCCACCCCCCTGGCTAGGATTTTACTGGGAAAGGAGAACGAAAGGGTTTTGTTTTTAGTTGTTGATTATATAAAGATCAAAAATAGATACAAGTTTAAAGAGGTTTTGTTTTACTTGTTATATGTGTTCTTCTACTTCTGTGCTTCAAATTGTCGAAATGAGTCACCCATTCCAGCGCTCATCTTTGTTGAACTTCCAGCATGTACATCATCAGCTTTTCTTTTAACTGAGATTCAGTCAGCTACATTATGGTGATGCAAAATATACTCAATTACAGATAATTACAGCTGAACGTGCCAAAAACAATTTTATCAGTAGTTATTCCCATCCATTTGTCCACATTTTGGACGGTCAAGCATCAGATTTTTTTGGTTCAGTATGTGGAACAGATGTTCTTCTATATCACAGGCTGTGTGACCACTACTTAACAGATCAGCACACATAGCTATGACATCAACTGGGTGCAACCTCTTTGGCTGCCAGACACACAGATGCTACTACTGTTCATACTGACACACCCGTCCGCATTGTTTGAGCTGTACATTTACTCTTCTGTACCTCAGTCACAACAAAATGTCAGCTACACTCGACTGTACTAGAACACAATAAGAAAGTAGGAGATTTAAAAGGGCTACATCGCTGCTAAAGGTTCATGGTGAAGAAATTGGTACATCTTGGTTAGATGTCTGTGGAAATTCTTTGTTGTAAAGTTTTGTCTGTTTTCTACATGGTATGTGTATGTTACTGGATGTAAGATGTTCTACTTTATGACCACTTTTTTTCTGATTTTTAATAGTTAGGCCTATAGTAGGAACTATTATATATACTACAATGTATTGTATACAATGAAACTTAAACAAAACAAAAAAATATATATATATCATGTATTCAAGACTTTTTGCATGCAATATGACTTTTACCATGGTTGTGAGCTTCCTCTCAATGTCATCATGTCATCTATAATAGTTTTGTATTAGGATTTTTTAGGATCGCTCCCTCTTGACACAAGACGACACTTTCACTGGTATGAACTTCTTTTCAAATGCATTCATTTAATGATTCATATCCAAAGAAAATTCTTTGTTCATTATAGAGATTAAAAGGGGTAGTAGTATATAAGTTTTACTTCTTCCTACCCCCCTTTCAAACATATAAATAAAGTTTTCTTTTATTGGCAATCATATGTTAGTTGCTGTTGTTTTTGTGTTAATTTGAATGTATGCTTATTTTAAATTGTTTTTGTTTTTTTTGTTTTTTTTACATGTTTGAAATAAATATATCAATCAATCAATTATGCTTTAGATTACTCATTAAGGTGCTCTTAGTTAAGGCCCTCTTTTCCTTTAAGGACATTAATAAAATTAAATAAACTTTTATTGGATTGGAATAACTATAATAACTTAACTCTGCATATTTGCTTATTTAATTTAATTATTTAAAAATGTCAGTTTTGCGCCCTTCAACAGATAGTATTCACACTGTAATTTCTTCAAGAATTGCTTTTCTAGTTTTTCTTTTGCATTTTTTGTTGTGTTGTTTTGTATGGTTTTGTTCTTTTATTTTAGGACCCCCTTGAAAATGTCAATGGGTTTATCTTAAATATGATCAATTTGAAAAATAAAAAGAATTGGTAGTGCATTTTTGTTTAGGATCACGTCAACAATCAAAAGGTTTATATGCAATACCAAAGTAACTGCTGGAAACTACATCTTGTATGCTTTTATGTTTAATATTAAGCTTCTTCACTCTCAGTTTGATAAGTACAATAATCCCACAGTTAATAACTAATTACATTTCACTCGCTTTATTTTCCTTAATGGTGGAGGTCGGGGCACAATTTTTATTTTTTCTTTCTCAGAAAAAAACTTTTTCCTGTTTCCTATTATGCTGCCATTATCACTGTCGTCATGTTCTAACCCACAGCTGTCTTAGGAGAAGCTGAAGGAAAACTCTACCTATCTGTAATGGAATGACATTTCAGCGTCACTCATTCCCCGTCCATTAGGAAAAGATATTGGATTTGATGCATTATCTGACGCTGATGCTGAAAAATCCACTGATAGGCTGCCTTGTCTTAACTCCCTCAGACAGAGGCGAATTCTCAGGAGACTGCTCATCTCAGCCTTGTCCCATGTCCAATATTCTGCGTTTGATTTACTCTCTCTTTTTGGACTGGAGTGCTTTAATTGATACCAAGGCAGACTGCCTGTGAAGATAGCTCTCTGTGCACCACCAGACTCAGCTAGGTCAGATGAAATATAGCTTTGAAGTGGCCCGGTTTCCTATCACAAAAACTGTGTTATACATTAAAGAAAGCAGTGCTGAGGCTGCATAGGATTTATGGGGTGGTGTCTGTTCTTTTGTCATTCACCATATTATGTATTTGTGTGTGTGCGCATGCTTTTTACTCCACAAAGATAGGTATGCGCTGGCAAGGTTGAGTCTGCCTTGTCACGGTGAGCTTTAGTGTTCCTGAGACTTTCCACTGGAACAAAACATACTAAATTGTCTTTTGAGTAAATTTATGTAGCCATGTTCTTTCTCCATTTTAACATGGTGTGTGTGTGTGTGTGTGTGTGTGTCTTAGTTCGTTTATCTCCTCTTGAATGAATTAACCCGCTATTCAAATTCAGTGAGCACACATTCACAAACCAAAGTGATATATTGGTGCACACGCACATTCCTTGTCTGTGTGAGGTTGTGCTGGGTGCACTCCCTGTATTGATCTCACCAGTAAAGAATGACGTGTTTAAACTTGCAAATAATAGCCACACCCGTACATCTTAACACAATATGGTCCAAAGTTTGATCCCTCACAATACTTTGTCATTCAATTTGACAGAGGTTGAGAGGAGAGAACTTAGTCTGCATCCAACTTGGCAGAGTACTAGGACGCCTGATATGTGACAGCACTGAACGGAGTGTCACAATTGAGGATGAAACAGTATAGACCTCAGCTTGTTTATTTTGCATCTCATCATTATCTACAACTCAAACATAGTCATGCCGGCCTCTCAAGTGTGTGTGTGTGTAAAGGTAGTTCATTGTGCCCTGAGCTGACTGTAGGCCTTCACTTTCTCTTATGAGTAGTTTATATGAAGAAAACCAAGATATACATCATGAGACACATGCAATTTATTGATCCCCCGAAGATCTCTGAGCATCTGTGTTCCTTTGTTTTCATGCACACAGTGCAAGTCAAAGTCAAGTGAGGGGAATATTTGTGCACGTGTCAAAGTGTGTTGTCATACAGCTGTGACTCAAGCAAGTCGTACGCAAAGCTTTTCTGAATATCATAAAATGACCGCCTGAAAATGGTCTGTCATGAAAGACATGGAGTATCCGGAAAAATCTGAACGATGGGTGTTTTCTCATCCCATGTAGTATTAGTTAGTTAGATAGTGGAAGTCAGTTGAGGCAGCATCTGGGACAACTCACAACGTTCAAACTGTCCGAAATACTTGCATGGGACTGTTTTTTGCCAAAGCTTGACAACTTTGACGGGTTGCATGAGGCTGACCCACAGGAGCATAGAGCACTAATGCACACACAACTGTAAACATGGTGAAGCAAAAGAGGCATAATGCTGTTGGGGCTGTCAGGTGGAACAGTAGAGTCGGTCCACGGCGCCTCCTTGAGTCATGAAAGACGGCAAGCTATGTCTGCCATGTCACTCGGCCAACTCAGGCCAAAAATTTTTGTGTATATAATGACCAAGGCAAAAAAAAATGTGGTGTGATCATTTTATGCACTGTCACTGTAGCATCAAAAATAAGAGCTGTGCGAAAACACCACTGCAGTGAGCACTGCATAGCACCAATGATGTCACCAAAATTAAATCACTGTACATGAATTTTTACATTAGCAACAGGGTTAAGGTTAGAGATAAAAGCACCACTGAATATGAAACCACTTTCTTCTTTCATGTCTGCATGTAGAACATTTTCCCTCTTATCATACACATGTTACTATTCACATACACTTCTTTGTGAATATGTTGAAAAACAAATTTGTTAGCCAGCCTGTGTTCTTCTGTAGTCTACAAGTCACACAGTCATATTTTTGGCTTGAACGATAAAGCACATGTCCCAGTGTTCAGTAACTTTTACAGTAACTCTTTCTGACTACTGCATACGAGGTAACGTGTAAAGGATGAACTTGGATCCTAGCAAGAGAGTGACTAGTATGTATTGGTTGGTGAAATATCCAGATGGAGCCACACAGGAAGAGCCAGAAAGGGAAATCAGCGTCTTTGTACTTGACTCTGTCCCGAGATGTTCTGGGCTGCTGCATGCAGATGACGACTAAAATACCGATTAGTAGCAGATGGTGTCTTCCAGGGTACAAGACATAAACATTTGAGTGCTTAACACTCAGATAAATCAACACAAGACCCTCATGGAGTGAGCGGGAAAAATGGGGAAAACAGGAGCACGTAACACAAGGTGCCAGATAACTGAACGAGACTGGGACCACTTAGGAACCCCGTCGAGCTTTTGAAATCCCTTAAAATAGAAACTCTTTGAATAACAATCTTGATCTTTAAATAAAAATAAAATGAGCAGTGTGCTTCTTTAATTCATCCTCTAGTCCTCTTCAGCAAAGACCCATCGAAGCTACATTTGAGTCCAAACAAATGCTGCATGATGAGGTCTGTGCTGCAGAAAAGGTCGTTCCAAGTTTTCATTTGAGTTGAAGGACCAGTTTGATAAGTGCAGTCTTTCTTCAAGGTCTTCGTGTCGTTAAGATATTTCGCCAGCTCTATTAAGCCAAGGTGCAAGAGTGAGATGAGATGATAGTTTGGCATCTGAGTATAAACCATCATGTCTCTGCACATTTCTCAAGTTCATTAACTCACTCCATCAACCTAAACGCCAACCTTTCACTGACTCAAAGATAGCATTTCAACATCAACCTCTACCATTAGCAAATTCCTTTGTTTTTATGACTGAATTTATTTCCACCAAGAGGCAATTTTATGTTTTCCTGTCTAATCGTGTTTAACCAAGCTGGAGAATAAACAGCACATGGGGTTGATACTCACTTTCGTGTATGGATTCGGTTCTGCATGTAGCTTGGTAATCTTTCTGCTATCAATTTGTGATATCACTGTTGTTACGTAAAACTTAGCTTTGATTCTTGATCTTTTACTTTTGCCATTAAATGAACAAACAACAAAAAAAGCTCTGAAGAGAATGATGTGATCAGACTCACTGCTAAGGTTTAGCGTGCCAGCAGTGTTTAAAAACACATCAAAGCGAGCAATATAAAAGCCCAAATATGTCATCTATCATTCTTTACTTGACCTTGGTTTTCAGGTTGTGTGGTTGCCAACTAACCATGGCTATCACCTGCCTGACTAACTAAAATTTGAGGAATAACTTCAGGTTGTGATCTTACTCCATGTCATATTGTGCCAGGTTTTCATACCCTCGAATGAACACCAGTTCTATTCCAGGGATGTAGACAAATGTTATTTCTTCACCATGGCTGCATCACACTCACCCTGACTGCTAAAACATTCAGTGTACAGATAGAAGCAGGGTGCCAGCTACAAAACCTGGAGTCAATAATGAGCAGGAAATACTCCTCTGGAACATTTGGTATTCTTCAGCACATCATTCCTTCTAACTGCACCTATCCTCAGTTTGTTTTCAATGAGCTTGCTCGTGTGTCAAAATCCAAAAAAGTACATTCTTTTCTCAACGTGACAATATGTAAAAAAAAAGTGCTTCATTTTATTACTGTGCCAGCAGCAGATGATTATCCCATTTTGGGAGGGGAAAAAGGATAAAAAGGGTGATGGACAAGGGTGAATCCAAAGTGGACAGACAAATATTTAAGACAGAAATCATAATCTAATGTGTAGGCGAAAAGCAGTCAAAAGCAGGTAGAGAACAGTTAATGAGAGTGTTCTTGAAGTTGTAGAAGTGTGAGTGTTTTAATTTTGACACTGCAGGCTGTTCCTTGAGATTGTTGCACTGGGAGCAAGGGAAGTTTTTTTACTAATCTGGGTCATAGTGCTAGAGGAGCGAAAGGTGAAATATACAATGGCAAGTTTCCAATAAGGGATTTGCAGATAAATAATGCCAATAGTTATTACGTCTCTCGGGCAGGGAAGGCCAGCCAACTTTATCGGATAGAATGCAGTGGTCATCCAGTGAAAAACCTGTTGACAAAATAGTAGGATGGCCGCAGCATGTTGATATATGACATCCCCATATTTTA